AAATATACCTGCCTCGTGAGTTCAACTCAACGCGCTCGGTCCCTGATAACGACTCTACTCGATAGTCCTTCCGCATTAGCACGAATTCAGTCCATAACCCTGAATTAGGCCTTGCCGCCTTCGGAAAAAGTCACCCGGTTCCACCGCCTCAGAGAGTTCCTTCCGCATTAGCACTAATTCAGGCCATAACCCTGGTTAGCCAGGTTAGGTACTAATACCGTACTATCCACAAATATGCCCCGCGCTTTCTGGGGGCGTGTCTGTTCATCCTGGTGGTTCCGACAGTACCCCGCCCAGAAACCACTGCACATTCGCAACCAGATACCTAGGTCCTAGGCAATCGCCCTTTTCATATTAAACTGGCACAGTCTGGCAGCACCGCGCAGGGACCTACTAGAGAGGGAGCCATATTCCCGCTAAACTTCAAGTTATTATTATTACCTCAAGAAACACCTTTACAACTACTTCACACGCCTTGTACCAACTACCAAACCTGTGCGCAACCATTTCTCCCATGATGGGCCGAGTTTGCCCACGAATTTTCTCAGGCAGGGTGTTGTTTCAGAGTCAGTGGGATTTTTTTTTCACTGCCCAACTACGAGTAATCAAAGAAGAGCTCAGGGTGTGAGGCTGAAAAATTTGTTGAATAGGATCAAATGGATGGATGGATGGATGGATGGATGGACGGATGGATGGATGATCTTTTTTCTAAGCTGGGAGTTGGGTAACTTGGGTTCCGTGCCCCTTTGGGCCTCTGTATTTTCAAATTGGGACTTACTCCGACTGGGCAGATTCTTGAATCACCAGGTTGACAACTTGGAGTGCTTTCTCCACATTCTCTGACTGTCCATTTCCACCTCCTCGTTGGTTAGGTAGCAAGACCCCAAGATCTATTTTCGCATCCAATTGGAGCTTGATGAAAAACCCACCTTCATTCGCCCTGCTGCTGGTAGCATGATCCACAAGCCAAAACCAAAAGCGGGGAGAGGGCACCAGTCAGTGCCACAGTGGTAGTACACAAGTAACACCAGTCGGTTTTTTACCAAGCAACGAAACTGATCCTGAGAGAAAGAAAAAGGGAAAATTTAAAGAAAAAGAACCAAGGAGCCAAAATTCGGGTGGTCAGGAGCAGGGAGAATAGGACTTGAAAGTTCAGAAACAAACAGCCATCAATGCCATGATCATGATGGCGTGTGGTGGCGTGGGGAAATTCAATTCAGTGCTTCAAAAGGAAGGGTAGGAAAAGGAAGAAGAGTGAAAAGAAACATTAATTTAGCGGGGGTCCTAGATGATATCATAAGTCTGTCGCCCTTTCCTTGTAGAATAGAGAGAAGGACAAAAAAAAAAAAAAAAAAAAAAAAAAGATGGGTGGAGTCGCGGACGACGCAGAGCACACTTGGCTTGGTTCACATTTAACAATGATAAAGTAAACTACAAATTAAACAAGCATGGGCTATCTTTTTCCAGCGCAAAGCAAAGCGCTGATGATGATGATGATGATGATGATGGAACCCTTCTTTCTTCTGGGACATGTGCTAAAAAGTGGAACGATATACAGATGTCAGAAGATTAGCACGGGCCCTAAACGACAATGATTATCACGGATCAAACTTATCAAGAGCTGCCGCCCAAAATTACTAAAAGTAGTAAAAGAGAAAACAAACAAACCAAAAAAACACAGACCGTATTTTTTTGCCAAAAAAAAAGAGTGACGGAGGTTCATACGTTTTGCCATGAAGTGATATGAACCATCCATCCGTCGGCAGAGGGGGCGAAGACCTGGACATCAAATGAGTGGATGTGACAGACTGTTTGAGACTCCGACAAAACAACATGTCACAGCCCGGGCCCTCGTTAGTTGGCCTGTTCTCGCTCTGGCCCTCAAATCTGATGATGCTGAGATGTCCTACCGTCTTCCCCCACACATAACGCACCCTCTCACCGTCTTCCCCCACACATAACGCACCCTCCCTCACGTTTTGGCTGCACCGAGCCGGAAAGATCGCTTCTACACAGTCGCTATCAGGGTGCGTTGTGTTCGGAGACACAGACGGTAGCACCAGTTGAGCTACTCCAACCAAGCTTCAATGCTACATCGAACGCACAGCAACAATCCGATCAATAACTCAGAATGAGTTATTTTATTGCCACACACGACAGTATTGCCACGATACTACGATGGTGCACCGCAAGAATTGCACATTTGAGGGATCCGAATCGGAATGAGGAAACGAAGATGGGTCCGTGAAAAGCTAATAAGCTATACCGACGAGCTAAAGGCTCCCACGGGCCGGCTTTTCTCGGGTTTCTTATCAGCTCCTCCAGGCTCTCCCACTTCGTGGCCTTCGAATATCGACGAACATACAATGGGAAAACTCGAATTGTACGCGTTCAACGAGCAGGTCACGTCACCTCGAACGCACAGCAACAGTCAAATAAAAAAATAACTCAGAATGAATTGTTGCCACGATCAGAACATATCACCATGCCCGTCAATGCTCGATGGCTCAGAGTCTCAGCAAATTGCATACGGTCGTAACGGTTGTGAATGGTGACCGATTGGCAGACCTTGAGAATCGCAGACGAACATGGGACTCCATCGTTGACCATACACTCGACGTGCGACTACCAAGAGACAGGTAGGAAGAGCAGTGAGCACACATCATAGACCTACGACAGGTCCTGGAGCGAATGAACGGAGTCAACGACAATATTTATTGTCTTGATAATAAAAAAAAAATATTAAGATGAAGAGGTCAAGAGTACGAGAAGGCATCAATAAATCGTGACACGTCGACTCGGAGGCGGCTGATACGATTCAAACGATGGCTCTGCTGTGAAGAGGAGCGACTCGGAGGCAAGGGGCAGCAAGAGAAGTCTTAGAGTAGAGTGTACAAAAAAGCGATTACGTCGGGAAAAGCTGTGGAGAGGAAGATAGTGTCGATATGAACGCCATCATGATGATAGTAAACTAGTAATTACTAATAAAGCTCATGTAAACTTTCTTCCAACTATTTCCTTGTGGTTGTGCGTAATTTCTCTCTCATAGAGTGTACGAAGCTAGGCTACCAGCCGGGCCGCCCGGTCTCCCTATTTTCCCGGTCGGCCCGGCCGTGCAAGGACCAGTCAAGGTCCCAGCCAAAAAA